GAGATCTTGCATGTTCACCAAACTTTACAGCTGCACAACTTAGTGAGAACTTTAAACGCGCGACACATTGCACATGTCTAAAAGCGACTTGTCTCACTACCGGAAAACTTCAGAAGCTTTACACAGCCATCACTCACTTCGAAATCACATGAGCTCGTCGTTTGAACTCAGTTCACGGCTGACATTGTCCGCATGCTCGAAGATGGGACCTTTCTGCTTCTCCTCGTTGTAGACTCATCAGCTTGTGGGGTTCCAGCCGCTGAGCTCTTCGCACCATTCCACAGCTTTCACGGTGGAACGACTTTCCACTTCCAATCCTCCAAACTGGTAGTGCACCTCGTGGTGGATGCACCCTTTGCCTCGGGCTCATCGGAGGCGGCGGTGGATCTGGATCTTGTGAAGGATGTCGTGGATAGCCTTGTGGTTGTTGAAGGTCTCCAGGTCGTAGACCTCCATGTAGAACTTGTCCTTGTCGTAGATCTCCATGAGGTAGAAATTGTGGTTGTCGTAGATCTCCATGGGGATGTAGAACTTCTCCATGTCGTAGATCTCCTTGTGGATGTAGAACTTCTCCATGATGTAGATCTCCTTGTTGATGTAGAACTTCTCCATGATGTAGATCTCCTTGTTGATGTAGAACTTCTCCATGATGTAGATCTCCATTGAGGTCGTCGTTGTCGGGGTAGTACGACCTAGCATAGGCATCCGCAGCTCCAGCCTCGTCATCATCTGAGTTGACACCGAGGCGGTCATCTTCCTGACACAGAAGCCACGACTCATCATGAGGTTGTTGTCCACCACTGCTCGCACTCTTTGCCTTTGGCCTCGTAGAACTCGTTGTCGACTCGGGCTGAAGAAGCTGTTCCGTAAACCACGCATTCAAGTTGGACTGCACCTCATTCATGTTTCTCGGAGCATCCTCATTGGCCGCTGGAGTTCTGTCCACGCGACCCCATCGTCTCTTCGGGGCCATCATTGCCAAAAGGACACATACACCTGCCATGCTGACAACGATCATCACGACGAACATGGGCTGCATGAATAACTGGTACACATAGTCCATCACCAC